GCCATTACATGTACATAATAATTTCACAGGAATCTCTGCCTCTTGCATCTTGGAGGCTTCTTGGTCTCTCTTGGGGAGGGTATTCCCCTGTCCTAAAAAGGGGGAAAGACCAGAGCATCCTGATGATATCAGACTCTAAATGTGAGTAAAAGAAGTAGTGGTTCTGTCATGGCTTGGGCAGGAAGCAAATTGAGAGTCTAATGAATTGTAATAAAACTTGCAGTTCCCAGACAAGTGTTTCACATAAAAAAATTGGGTTTGTGTGAAAACATTTCTTCATTAACACATACTGGTTTTGAAAACTTACTTTAAATTCACCTTTTTTGAGAGTTTTTCCAAAGCTTTAAACACTTTTGTGATTGATGTAGTAGAAGTAGGAAAGAAGTAACTGAACTCAGAACAAATTGAGCATTTCCATTTCAAAAGGCTTTTACAACCATCTGCAAGGAAGTCAGTATTCACTGGCAATCTCTGCACCAAAATTGGCTCTCACCTAGGCCAGAGAATGCTCCCACCCTGCTCTGTTGGTGGTGTCTGTACTTGCAGGCTGTGAAGAACCAAAGCCAGACAGAGCTGGTGGATGAGGAGGCCATGTCCCAGATCAGGAAAGGCCACGAGACCATGTGTGTGGTGCTCACCAGCCGCCACAAGAACCTGGACGCCGTGCGCGCCGTCTGGAGCACCAGTGACATCAAGGCAAGCGTGGGGACGTGCCTGAGGCTCCTGAGCAGCTCTCTCTGCTTCTCTGGGGCTGGCTCTGCCTCATACAAAACACAGGGTCTCAGAGCTTTTCTCCCCGGGGATGCACCACAGAGTGCTGCAGCTGAAGGGTCACAAAGAAACTCACATGGCAAAGACTTTCCCATGAGAGAGTTCTCTTCCCTGGCCACTTCATGTTTCCTCTACCTTGTTTTGGAAAAGCAGCACTAGATACTAATTTGCATTAGCCTAACCAGTTTGACCTCTGCAATAGATGGCTTTTTCTTCCCCTTTTCTCTCAGAACTCTCTGGACTCTGCAGTGGCAATCAATGATCTGTCTGTTGTCGTGGATCTCTTGAATATTGTCAACCAAAAAGCGTGAGTCCTGGATGGGGTCAGCCCCTGGGATGTGCAAGGGCTGCCTGGCTGGGAGTTCCTTGTATCTGCCCTGTGTCCAGTAGGCCATGGCAGTGTGAAAATGATGTGTTTGTAGTCACTTCTTCAAGCCTGCAGTGGCAGTAACTGCTGGAGTTATTTGGGGCCAAGGAAAATCAAAGTCTTGGGGCTTCATAAAGTGATTCTGCTTAGAGTCAAAGAAATATATCCGAACCTGCCACTTTCTCTCACGAGGGGGAGTCAGTGAACTTGCTCTCTGAACCTGAATATGTCTGTTTGGGCATTTGCCAAGAATTCTTTTTTGTGTCAGCTTGGCTTTGTAAAGCCTTGGTCTCCAGTCTCAGGGTATGTCCTTTTCTTTTCAGGTCTCTCTGGAAGCTGGATTTGTGTACTATAGTCCTGCCACAGATAGAAAAACTACTCCAAAGTAAATATGAAAGGTGAGGCCTCAAGAACATGGTGTGCATGAGGGACAGGGTGTAGGTAGTGATAGGGGAGCTGTGCTGGGTATTTTGTACCTGGAGGAAAATCCTGAGAAATGACTGCAGATACAGTCTCATGCTGATATGATGCCTGTAAAAGAATTATGGAGTTGCTAGGTGTGTGTGGGAAAAGATACAGAAAGTGTGCATGGGCAGGAAGAGCAGGATAGTGGGATTTGTCCTAGATTTTGGATTAAGACAGCTCTGGCAGCCAGGAGGGGTCATGTAAAACAAATGGGCTTTGCACACTGCTGAGAGTGAAGCTGTCAGCCTGGGACGAAGAATGAAGTCCTGCAACAGCCCTGGGGACTCATCTGTAGGGAGAAAAATTACAGCCTCTTTTAAGATGGAGCTTCTGCTCTTCCTTTCTTCTGGGAGAGAGGTTCCTGCCAGGTTCCCTTGGCAGGACATCTCTGCCCTTGAGCAGAGAGGTCGCCCTTGGGTAGGTTATGTGCCAGGACCTTTGGAACAGACTTGCTTTGTGAAAGCTTTGGAACTCAGATGTGTTGTTGGTACTTGGCTGTTGCTCTCCTTGCCTGGTTACAGGTGGTGGAGTGGGGTTGTTTGGGGGCTGTGTGCTGGGGGACAGGAATGGCATTCAAGGGGACAGGAATGGCATTCAAGTGGGACCCAATTCTCTGTTTTTCAGTTACGTGCAGACTGGCTGCACATCTTTGAAACTCATTCTTCAGAGATTCCTGCCACTCATCACAGACATCCTCGCTGCACCACCTTCTGTTGGAGTGGACATCAGCAGAGAGGAAAGGTGAGGCACATGCTGCTTTTGCTCCCTCCTGGGATCAGCCTTTCTCTTGGGTGAGCTTTGCCCTTGCCATCAGGGCTCTGATTCCAGACTGGACATGCCTTCCCTTTGTCTGCAAGCACCAATCCCTCATGCTCAGAGGAAAAGGACTGCCTTTCCCTTTGCCTCTGTGCATTGAGTCATACCTAAACAAAGTATCAGGAGTAAAACCACCCTGTGCCTTTCCCCTCTGCCTCACAAGAAGCGTGATTTGGTAGGCAGGCCCTGGATTTTGAGTTCATTCACAGGATAGCTCCTCTCTGGGAATTGGCTTTTGGAAAACAGCACTTTCTTTTTCCCTGGACTGTACTGCCAAAGGGGGAAGAGAGCTGAAAGAGCCCTTATGTGGATGCTGTTCTCCTGTCTCATCAGGACGTGTGCTGAATGCCTGGTGTTTTTGCAGAGCTGTGCTCATATTTCAGCCTCTTCCAGGCCATTTTCAGGGCTTTTCTCTCCTGCTTGAGCTGCCTCTCTGGCACTGCAGGAGCTGCCACACCTCAGGCAACAAGGGATTCATGCTGTGTCTGCTGTCATATTTTTCCAGGCTTCACAAATGCAAGTTGTGCTACAAGCAGCTGAAAAACATCAGCAACGTTGTCAAGAACAAGTCTGGGCTCAGCGGCCGCCATGGTAGTGCCTTTCGGGAACTGCTGCTCCTCATGGCTGTCCTGGACTAGCAGCCACCACCTCCTCATGTATAAATACAGGTGGCCAAGCTTCCCCTGCTCGTGGTCTGGCTGGATTTCAGATCTCTCCGTGTGTCCGTCCTTTCCCCCTGCCCCTCTCCAGCACGGTAGGGAAGTGCAATCTGCCAGCCTGGTCGCCCAGCCAGCCCTGGTGCCTTGGGGGCTGGATGGAGGATCCCAGTGGAGAGATGTGTGTGCTGTGGGAGGGGCCCTGGCGGGTGCAGGGCCCCACAGAGCCCTGCAGGGACGCTGCTTCATTTCAGCTCTTCATCTCAGCATCCAGCTCTGGGCTGCTCTGTGTGCTGGCCTGTCCCTGCAGGAGGGCTCTGAGCCTGCTGTCACCCCTCCTTCCCGCTTGTGCTGTCGGTTCTTGCTGCCTGGCCCTGTGGGTCAGGGCCCTGCTCTCGCTGTGCAGCTGCTGAGGACTGCAGGCACCGCCCCACAAACGCCTGCTGTGGGGTGATGCCCTTTCCATACAGAAGGGACTTAACTGCCAGGGGGGACCAGCCCCTTTGGCTTCATCTGACATGGGCATGGACACTGTGCCACTGTGCTGGTGCATCTCAAGGACCTGAACCAAGAGACTTTCTCTTGGCTTCTCAGCCATCCCTGCTGGCACCCAGGGCTGCAGAGGAGCAGTATCTTCAGACTGTCCTTGGACCTGTTAAAACATGTGACTTAAACAGGACTCATCGTATGTGCTTGCCTTTGGGGGTGAGGATTTGCAAGGGTGGAGGAACAGAGGGACATGGACTGAGTTATGTCTTTCTGCATCCACTGGACCATTCTTAGAGGTTTGTTTTTGGTTTTTTTCCCCCAATAAATGTCTGTCAGAACCTTTCTGTCCCTCTTTCTTCTTTCCTCTGGGGAAAGAGGTTCCTCTTGGTGCTTTCCCTGCTCTTCCCAGCCTGTCTCCCATTTTATACACTGGAGCCTGTTCTCCAGGAATCTGTAACTTATAACGAATTTTATTAAAATATTTGTAATTTTTTTTTAAAGTTGTGTTAAATGCCTGAATCTCTTGAAGTGCTCTTCACCTTGGCATGGCTCCTGGCTGGGAGTGCCCAGGAAAAGCAGGGCTGTGTTCCCTGCCTGTCCCAGAGGAAGCTGACCATTCTCACCCTTCCTGCTGGGAGGCTGTGGTGAACAACAGGAGAGCCAGCACTTGCCAGTGGCTTGTGGAAATCCCGGGGGCAGTTTCACTTTGCTGGGTTGTTCCCAGCCCAAGGAGCAGTGTCATCATTTAGGGCTCATCCTTCTCCCTGGCTGCACACTGATCCCCCTCCCGTGGCTCTCCAGTGGATCTGGGCTGAGTGGCCATGAGCTCTGAGCCAGGGAGTGCCTTTGGAACGACTGTTCTGGGGAGGTGGAGTGGGGCCATCAGGAAAGCTAAAGCCAGTCCCCACACTGCTGATGCTTCATCCAAACAGTCACGTTTTGGGAACAAAGGGGAATGCCTGCTCTGCTCCGTGCCTCTGGAGGAGGTGGCTCCAAAAGTACAGCAAGAGGCCCTGGCACTGAGCCACTGCAGGACTGAGGGTGAGTGCTGCCTGCTTCCAGCACCAGGACACTCACAGGGTCTGTGTCTCCTCTGCAGCTGCTTCCTGCTTGATCTGGTGATAATCCCAGGCCTGGACCCCCACGGGGTGTGAAAAGGCTCTGCCAGCCACCAGCCTATTGCTGGGATGTGGGGTGGGGCAGCACAAGGTGGAGCAGGACATGGCCACATTGGGACTCACTTTGGATTTAACCACTGCTCTCCCACTAATTGCAGGAGCCTGAAAGCTGCAAACTGGGGTGGAGACTGCTGCCAGGCTGGCCCCGGGGGCAGCTGAAGGGGAAGGATATGAGGGGCTTTTCCAGCCCTATGGGAGGAGGGAAGAAGCACCCATCCCTCCTCAGGCAGAGTTCAAGAAAAACACAGCACAGGAAGACTGGCTTTAAGAGTTTATTTAAAATAAGTTTTGTTACAAAACAGGGTATTTTTTAATTATTAAAATACATAGAAACATCTACTCTTACAAAAGGCTAAATTTATTTTTCCCTTTTTTGTTTTTAAATAGAATACGCCGTGGAAGCGCGAGAGGAGAGAGTGGTGGAAAGAGCCATCAGTGCATCCAGCAGGGGCTGGCAGCAGGAGGAGATGTACCCACAGGTGGCTCTTGAGAGGTCCAAGGGCAGTGTCATCCCCTCCCATGCCCCTGCCAACCACCATCCCCATACATAAGCCAAGAGGCTTTTGGACTGGAGGTTTGGGGTCTTTTTGTTTGTTTTCCACTACTTTTCCATTCCAAGACCATGTAAACAGGTATAAATATGTCAAACACTTTCATCTCGACCACACTGTGATCTCTCTTGACAAGACAACTGGTAAATAACTTTACAATAGCTTCATTTGAGACTGCTCCATTGCCCCTGGTGCCAGGTAGCACAGGCAGCCAGCGTGGGCCCTGGCAGCACTGGCACCACGAGGAACAGCAGCTCGGCTCATGCACAGCACCGGGGGCCTTCATGCAACAACAGGGCTTGAGAAACTCACGGGAAAGAGAGCTGCTGGGATCTTTTGTAGTTTAACTTGGAGGAAGTGCTGCTCTGAAAGACACTGGGCAGCTGCCCAGATGCAGTCTTGCAGGAGCTGTGGCCAGGATAGCCCTGTGGCAGTGGGAGAGGCAGGGCCAGAGACTGGTCTGGCTCTGTGCACCCCTTCCAGCTACATCTCATGGTAAAAACAAAGCTGGAGAGATGGAGGGAACACCCAGCTGCTCCCTGCTCCAGCTAAAAACATCTGTCCAGCAAAAATAAACTCACAGAGCTGAGCATCGACGGGGCAGATCTCTGCCCAGCACCACTGTCCCCTACCCTGAGAGGGGGGCATGGCTGCTGGGAGACTCTGACCCCGTGCTGCTCATGGTGAGAGGTGCCATCACCCTCTGGTCATGGGTCCTGGTGGCCAAGGGAACAGCACCAAAGCCTTCACGTCTTTGAGCAGCCGTCTCCGTGTCACTGTGAGGGGCTGGGTCCTGCAGCAGGTTGGATGCCATGGCTGGCACTCATCACAGGGGAATGGGCCTCAGCTTCCCTGAGGGGAGAGAGGCATGGCTTACAGCAGGCAGGGACACAGCCACCAGTGCCCCAGGCCTGTCTGGTGGCAGTGTAGCAGGAGGTGGTGCCACAAGCATTCCCAGAACATCCCTGCACAGTTCAGCAGCCCTGCCCTGCGTGGGGAGCGGGGTGAAAGCAGAGCCCTCCACCAGCACCGGCCGCAGGCACTCACCTGGCAGCCACGGCTGCCCCTAAGTCAGGCTGAAATCGAAGGGAAAGAGGTTCAGCCTGCTGGCATTGCCCTCCCCTTACCCCCCCATAGCCATCACAGTGCCTTTGAACCAGGGCACTCTTGGGGAAGTGCCAACCATGGCTAATTAGCTATTAACTAATGAGCTGATTACAGAGCTGCTCTGTACTCCCCACTGCAGGCTTTGCCATGGGTTGTTGGCTGGAGCCTCAAGGGACAGAGGGACCCTGTCTGGGCTCTCCAGGTGTCCCACCACCCACCTGAGGTGTGGAGCTTCCTGCGGATGGAGGCAGAACGACTGGAGAGATGCCCTGGGCTGGGGGATGCGTGGCCCCGGCCTGCTGGTGCTGAGGAACCCGGCGAGTCACCCTGGGAGGAGAGGGGACACAGCCCCAGGGTCAGCCAGGCCAGGCCAAGAGGGCAGGAATGGGGATGGGCTCACAGGCAGATAGTGCATGCCTGGGTAGTGGTGCCTAAATGTTCCCAGGGGCTATCACAGGGCTGCTGCAAAACAGGGCTTGGAACAGCCAAGGCTGCAGCATTGGCTGGACACTGCAGTTTGGGGACAACCTGCATCCCACCAGGTGATTGTCCCCAATGGGGGTGGCTCTAGGGGGACATCCAACAGCTCTAGGGACCACATGTGGGGGCAAAACAGGGGGGATCCCTGGGGTGAGGGTGAAGGACACCAGCAGTCTCTTGAGTACCTCCAGGTGCTCCTGGCTGGGCCAGGAGCCCAGCTCAGCCTTGCGGGAGACAGGACCCAGCTCCACAGAGCGAACCCTCTCAGCAAACTTCAGGGAGCACAGCGTCTCACTGGTGTTCTTCTCGGCAGGGGAGACCTGTGCTCAGGGAGGAGAGGCACAAAGTCACCCTGGCAGCTGCCTGTGCACCCAGGGGCTCCCCCCTAGAAAACCTGCTGCTGCTGGCCGGTGAGATGCTATTATTAACCTGCCCCTCCCAGGCTAGCCCCATCCATCCCTGGTGTCTGAGCCAGCTGGATTCCCTGTCACCAACTGCCCCAGTGCAAGGAGCAGCCGGGAATAGCTGTGGCAGGTGCAGGGGCTCAGGCAGCCCCCCTGGGGGGCTCAGTGTGGGTGCCAGCAGCTGGGAGTGGGGGCTCACAGGGCAGGGGTAGAGAAACTACCAGAGCTTAAAACCCTCCCAGAAAAAGAGGGGATGGAGAGATGACAATATATTAAGAGATTGTATAATACTGCCCATAGGGATAGCATCCACATGCAGGCAGGGAGGGCAGGATTGTGGACCTCCAAATTAATTCCGCACTCCTTGGCTTTGTCTAAGGAATGAGTGCAGAGACAGGGAGAGAGCTGCCACTGGCACCATGATTGCAGACTGCTCACCCATGGGAGAGGCCCATTCCCTGATTCCAGCCTCCCTCCCACCTGCCTCAGCACTGGGGCAAGAACAGGCTCAGAAATCAGTGAGGGGCTGTGGGGATACAGGCACCGGTGTCCAACCCCTACCTGCACCATCATGAGGGTCTTGCTGTCACCGCTGAGCGAGTCCTGCAGCAGGTAGGTGAGTTTGGAGTTGCGGAAGGGCACGTGGCCCTGGCGGGAGCGCAGGGCGTAGATGACATCTCCCAGGGCCGACAGGGACTTGTTGATGTGCTGGGCCTCGC